AAACCGCTTCAGATCAATCCCGCCGGGGTCCCTCACTCGGTGGATCGCGGCCCCTTCGTCGCTAGTACATTTCATGTTACCCCTGGCTTCCATCCCCTTATGGGCAGACTAATCCGTTGTGGTCTTATTCTGTCGCACACCCTCGTGAAGCCGTTGGCGCTTTGACGTTGTCATAGAGACTAGCGCTATTATCCGATTGTACGAGGCGCCATTATCGATATTATCAGTAGTGATAAAGCCAGCTGCCGCAGACTTGCAGCCACCTATAGCAGATATAGCACGAACTTACATTCACGATCATTTCCTTGGTGAAAATACTCGTACCGAGGGTGGTTGAACGAACTTCTGCGTCTAGGTTACGGCTTTCCTGAAAGGGCAACATTGATGGAAGGCTACAGTATCTCTAAAGGGAGATATCAGAAGAAGTGTTTGAATGTGTTGTGGTGCTACAACTTAATTTTTTACCTTTTCAAGAGGTACGCTATCACCCACACCTCCCACTTCGGCTCTGCCATAGAAGGAATCGACGGAAAATTACTGCCTCTGAGTTCGCCCTTCTATGGAGGGAGTTACAGCTTGCACAACTCTAGGATTTCTTCCCATGCCTCCTGGGAGGGCCCGAAGCAGTACTGAAGAGGGATCAGGTAATGTAAGCGAATGAGGAAGAGAAACCTTCGGGAGTGGTACTCGAGTGTCGCTCTTCCTACAAAAAGTTCAGTAGCCCATCCAATAAAATGGGGCTGCAGTAAGGAGTTGGGCTTTGTGGAACATCTCCATAACCCCTCCCCCGTCCTTGACTTCTGCTCAGGAAGCTTATTTTGAACAGATGGGAGTTCAGAATCTATGATGGACTGAGTAAGTATTTTACAGAAGACAAACGTACAATATTCTGCAGTGGTACGTAGTTTCGTGTCACCTGGCCATTGCGTCGATTTTACGAATTCGCCATTCTCGTAATACTTAGTGGTACCGGGTGGCTCGACATCCGGTGGAAGCTCTATGGGATCTCTGAAACCATCGAAAAGTTTCTTGGGACTGATAACTTGACTCTGGCAAAAGAGCAAAGATAGCGTGCTGAGCGCTGCGTCGAATCATTTTTGGATAAAAACTCCTGGAGTTTGATGGAGGTGAGCAGATCCTTTTTTCTCTTCCCGCGAACCCGTACGGGCATCTGAATGCGTATTAGGGCCCAAGAATGACTTGCAGAAGTCAGCCGGTGTTCGGCCCCTGTTCCGTGTTCAAAATAGGGTTTTTACTCTCTACTGAAGCCCGGTGCAGATTGAGAGTCGAGATTATGGCTTCGAAGAACTCGATTCAAGGTTCCGCTCACCGAGACGCGTGCGATATTGGCACCAATTTCCACTACATCGCCTTTGCCTTGATAATGCGTTTAATGAAAATTGCTCACTTTTGCGGTAGATAGACGAAATGACCATCGTCGAACTGTTTTCCGTCTCGAAGGAGCACCGAAACTTTCACACGACAGTCCTTAAATATGCAAGCTGCTATGAGACTCTAACTTGATTTCAATAGCAGAAAATAGTAATAATACTGCTGATTTCTATAGGTAGGTATGTCAACAGGTCCCCTTTTTGGCCGCACGAAAATGTGTCATTCAGAGCCCACGATGTTTAATGAAAGTCATTTCTAAGGTGAGGCTGGGTCCATCTGTTGCTGCGAAAAGTGCAGAGATCACGTAAAGTACAAGCTGTAGTCTTTTCGCTGCTACACAAAATGTCTCCCATGTCATCAAAAAGTGGACCTAATGACTACTTTCTTCTTTGTTGCTCTATATTTATTTATTTTTTGGTTGATTGCTTCACAAACAGACTTCGAGCAGACTCACCTGGAAGAAATTCAGCATCTGATACCGTATCAGACTCCATTCGCTGATGGGGACTGGACCGTAAAGCATAAGAAACTGGAAAATTTATTATTTTGTTTGGAGGGGAAGCTATTCAATCGTATATTTAATATTTCGCCCACTACATATTTAGTAATGGACGGTGAGCACAGTGGCTGAAGGGTGGAGTTGTTTTGGTGAAGTCGTAGTGTGATTGGCAGAAGGGCGTTAGGATGTCTTCCCAACCACGCCCTCAGCACACCACTGATGACGTCTGATGACGTCATCGAAACCGCTCCACCCTCCGACCATCGCGTTCTCTGCCTTTAAATACGTATGGCTTTGTTTATTTCTTTATTCATACTGATTGCATGAGTAATCTTTACAGTAACCTGGTACAATCTGCGACGGGACGTAAGCTTATAAACACTACCCAAGTATATTACGTTGGCTGATCCGCATAGATTGTACTTTATAATCTTCTATTTTTATGGCCACTACTCTATACCAAATCTGAATTCTATTTTAGTCAATTCAAAACCAGTTATAATGATTAATTCAATTTCAGCTTATAAATAGGTCGATTAGGGTGTATACATAGCTGAAGTATGGAATCATTCTTGAATCGCTAATGGGACGAGAATTTTATATGACCACTGAATTTGTTCCCACGCTTTGACTGGTCAAACAGCAGTGTCGGTTATGTGGCCATGGCCATAGCCGGCCTAAAATGGCCATCAAGTCCTTGGTCATGCTCTCGAAATTACCAGCTGGCTGTTCAAAAATCACTCCCGCTATCCTTTTTCGATTTCGGATTTGAATCTTAAAGACTTGGCTAATGAAGGGACGGATAAGTCGAAGAAGTCACGACTTGACTGTGTTCCGATCTGCGAGTTCCGATTTCCGAGTTTCGGTCCTGTGCCCAAGAAATGCCATTCGTTGGCTGTGATTGGCGCCTTCATGGGGAATGAAGGCGACTTTTCCACGCAATAGCGGTTAAATGGTTACCGTAAAGTATTTCATACTCGACGATCAATCTGTATTCTCATCGACAATCTCCATATGAAGTCAAAAAATGTGTGAAGGTGGTTGTGAAAAGAAAACAAAGGGGAGGAAGGGAGTATTAGAAAGGGCATGGGCGAGAGAGGAAAGGTCAAAGGCCAGAATGTCGAGGTACAGGCTGGCAATAGACCAGCTAATGTTGGCCTTTGGAACAATTAGCTAGCTCATTGCCAACCAGGACCAGGACTACATAGGTCCGGAACCGGCGGAAAAGCCAACAGGGCTAACTGCCCGGAATATTGGGAGGTTTGTGGCTCGAGTGATGGTGAAAAGAGATACAGGAGGGTTCAAAAGAGCGGAAGGAGTTCGAAGAAAGGTTCGAAGTGCTCAAGAACTTCCCGAAATCTTCTGGGAGCTTAACTTACCATTGCATGAGCGTTGCGGATGAGATCATGGATGTCGTCTTCCTGCTTTGCGATCCGTTTCATACCGCTTAGATGGTTCATTGTTACGGTTAGGATCTGAAAGCATCTGCCATAACTGAGCAAACAGACCTCTACCTTATATCATAGGATAGGGAGGTAACCGGAAGGTAGTGTTTCGGAATTTGGGAGGAGCTACCCGGTGGGTAAGGTTATCTGGGGTGGGCCTTTCCAGTAGACAGGCAGGGAGGAAAATTGATCATGCTCTTGGGGAATCATTTCAACCTTTGAAGAGCCTACATTCGAAGCGGGGCCCGACGCGAGGTAGGGTGAACTATTGCCTCAGACCACCGAATATGCATACCCTCGGGAGGGTTAGATAGGCCCAAGCTCCGTCCCAAACAAACCTGCCCAGCAGACAGCCCCGCCCCAGGTAACTCTGCCTATCAGATAGCCCCGCCCAAACTCTGTAAGTGTGGAATACATCCCTGTCAGTCCTGACCAACTGTCCAGCTACCTGTTCAGGCATCACCACCGACTGGATCTGGTACTTTGTCATCATGAGTGTCAAGATCAAACAGCTTTTCCATGCTAAAAAATAGGGGGTTTTGCGTCATTTTGAAACATCGTCGGAAAAAATTCTGTACCTGCTCTCGCTGAGTCGCATAATACTTGAATGAGCCAACCGTTCGAACATCGCCCGCATATGTCTCCGGGAGAACATGTGCTGTGGCCTGAATCATGGGATATACGTGGGCTGAGTTGTCCTAGACGGTTGGGTAGGGTTGAGTTTGCTCACTTGAATATTTCATGCAGATATTTCTGCTTGAGTGTTTGGCTAATGATGTCGTGTAGCACTAGGTCGCCTTTTTCTTCGGAGATATTCTTTTGATTCTGGAACAAAGGCTATATTTACGCTTTTTGACTTGATCTTGTTGGATATCTACGGCCATTCATGGCTACCAAGACCATTATGGCTGCCAAGACTGTCTAGTGCAGTGGCAAGGTGCGGCACCGATATCACGAGGTACTGCCAGTTCTATCCCATCTGTAGTAAAAACCACAGTAACCGTACAATTTTCCTCCCTTTTCAGACTTTCCCTGGGCAGGGTCAACCGTCCGTTGGACAAAGTCCAACGCATGGCTCTCTAGCGTGTGAGAGTAATGCCGAGAGTGAACGTACGCACGGAGACACAGACGGCTCGCGCAAGGCGAGTGCGAATGCCGGCGCGGAGAGCGGTCAACGTCGGTCCAACGTCGGTCCAATGTCGGTCCAACGTGACGGTTTGACCCTGCTGGCGCTATCACAAGACACGGGGTAATCCTGTCATCCTGTAGGGAATAGGAACTGCGAGGCAAATGAAAATTGGTCGCGCGCCTAAGCGTCTCTCTCTTCCCTTGCCTTAGGCTTAGTCCTATTGTTAACACAAAAGAGACGTTCTGCGCGGTTTTGAATAGGTAGCCTCCACAATGCCCCCGGATCTTGCGATAGCGCCTCTTATTGTACTATCTTCACTTTGCCCTGTTCTAAGTGAATGATAACTCTTCTAGCGTACAGAAGGAGGGGGAGAGGCTTCAGTGGGTCAATAGGGCACGTTTTAGCCTATTGTATGTTTAACTCTTACCCAGGACCTCCGCAGTCCAGTCTATTCTGGCCCATTTGCGAAGAGCTACTAGTTTACGGACTGTACTACTGATCTGACGACATTGTTGATCGAATCTGTCTTAATTGTGGAGTCATAGAAGTTTGTCAATAAATTTCGCCGCCATGTGAGGTACATGGCGTATCCCTGAACAATCAGTTGGCGTCGGTATTCCTACCGAAGCCTTTTGGACAGGGTGATCAAAGATCACTCACTTACAAATGAACACCAAACGAGCGCTGATTAGCAGCGCTTCTTTTTGACTGCAATCGAATGGGTCCTTACAAAAGCCACCCACCTTTATCCGTTGTTCGAGAATATAGATCATCTCACCGGCCATGTTCACATAGAGCAATGGGAAGCATTTTAGACTCATTTTCTGGCGCAGCAAACTGCCGAGGCGTTGAATAGAAACAGTTAGACAGTAGCAAAATCAAATAGATGTGATGAATTGCCTGCGAAAATCGGAAGATGACTGCGTATCATACGAGTGTACGCAGTGGAATGGTGGTGCATATGTCGCTTTGAAGCTGAAGAGAGCTCGACGACGTGTGTTGTCATGACGACGTTCGCTTCGCTAATCAAAGCCGGTGATTGCAATTCGCACGCCTAGAGAGCGACACATGTACTGCTGTTGATGTGTGCGTGTAAAGGTGTGACAAGTGCTGTAATTAGAACCCCGTAAAGTCTGATCATTGGCCCAACAGGGCCACGAAACCCGCCAAGAGCGTTAAGCGGCTGTTTTCAGGTGAAAGCGACGAATAGTCTTTGCGGTGGCTCGAGTCGACTACGCTACGCGATCCAGGACAGTGGAGAGGTGGCGAAGGTTTGTGAAGGGTGGAGTTACGGTAGGCTCACTGGACGATTACGGTAATTCTATGGGTGTTTAGATTTTCAATGTTGAATCTATGACGGGTACAATTTGCCTGGAGAAGAAGCTTGACTATGAGAAGAACGTCAACCATCAGCTTACTGTAGCGGCTATTGATCAAAGTAAGCCTGACTTTTATACTAAAGTATCAACCTATGGTCAAAGTACGATTATGTTACGAATGGCTAGCATTCCCATGCTGTAGACTTACCCAAGTCGATCCTCAACTGAGCTCGAGAATAAATTTGTATGTTGAGGGCGGGTTCGAGGCTCACCTGGGGTGAAAGTTTTGTTCGTAACCCAGCACATTTGTATGTTTAGTAACCTTTACCGTTCAATCGTTTTCACGATATGGCTCACAAGAAGAGCACATGGCGTATCCAAGTACATCATGAGAGTCCAACATGGTTACGAGGGGCCAAAACTAGGAGATTTACTATGTTCAACATTATCGCAAATTGAAATGAACCCAAAAAGAATAATGGGAAAGCGACACAGTATCGCGCCCTGTACTCTTTTGCAGTCAGGAATGCAGACTCGATTGGAAGCTTGATGTCTTGTAATCAGGGCTTCAATCGCACGGCATTAATTACATCCCTTCTGGATACGCCATGCATTTGAAACCGCGATGGCACAAGGATTCATGGGTTGAGTGGCTTGTCAGGGCC